AAGATTCAGATTAACGCAATACTCGCATACGTACATATATATATGTATGTTAACACAACCGATAGAATTGGATTGAATATACATATAAAAAAGAATCGATAAAAAAAAAAAAAAAAAAAAAATAAAAAAGAAGTATAGTCGCGACGAAAAGTATAATTGAAAAAAATGTCTAATACTGGAGAATACTTAAAGAAAGAAAGAAAGAAAGTTAAGAAAAGGAAAAATCCGTTGATCCGGATAAAGAAAATACTTTTTCTTCGTTGGTCTGAAGAGTAAAAGTAAAGTATATAGTAAAGGAGGAGGAATTCATCGTGAGTGAAAGCCGTCGGCGGGAGACTTTAATTACCGAAGGGTAGATTCCTAACCGGACGCACCCACGGGGCAGATTACCCCGGTAATATTAGCAAGTTTTATTGCAGGGAGAGAGAAAAGTTGAGCTGCTTGAATGCAGCATGACTCACGGGCACATTCATCTGCCACTGATGTTTCTGCTCTTATTGCAGCCTCACCTCCAACAGCAGCAGCAGCAGTAGCAGTCATCCCTCTCTTTCCTCTTGTACCCCATCACCCCATTTTATATCCAACTCTAGCTTACCCTTCGTGTTATTTCTTTCTCTCTCTTTCTATTTCTATTTCTCTTTGCTCTTCCATCTTTTCCCTCGATAGCCTATAACCGTCAAACGTAAAATCTTTGCAACTCTATCCAACATTGATATCGATACCCGTGTTTGCACATATTCGAAAAATATGAATTTTCTCCAATATTCTATACCAATAAATTGTTGTACCGTCTGTTAAACTAGCCCAAAATATCACGAAATTTAGTCGAATTCGCTTGTACAATGATAAGAGACACATAGAGAGAAAGAGAGAGAGAGAGAGAGAGAAACATGTGATACTATAAGCGAGATTACAATAGCCGAGGTGTATCGATGATTGGAACGGTAAACGGTACATCGATATAGACTGTATTCTGTCGTTTCGCATCCTATTACATACATAGTATCGACGTGTAAACCGAGTTGAATTGTTATCATATAGACCATAATCGTATACGGGAATTATATTGGTCTAACCATGGAGAAATAATTGATTTCAATGATTTCATGTATTCCCTTTATAATATTAGATTGTCCCATAAGTTATTTCCGCGCCACGCTATGTATGACTTCGAGCCGGCTATGTTTGTAGACATGCAAGCTTTCTTCCTGAGAGATGGAAGAAGGTAATAGAGCAGAACACAGTAAATCAAGCTTAAACAACAAATATCGTCTATCGAAGTCGCATGAAAAAAAAGGAAGGAACTTATGGGACAACCTAATAGTTCGCGATCGAAAATGGGCTAATACGTGAATTCATTCGATAATGTCTGGCCCCCTTTTTTTTCGCTAACCCTTGGGTGTAACACAGGACAATGTAGGGTTGAAGAAACGGGAGGTGGATAGGGTTTGGGGTGCGAAGTGAATAGGGAAGGTATTATCGGCTTCGGCTACGGCTACGGCTACGGCTACGGCTACGGCTACGGTTCGCTTATGCGGAAGGGGATAGTCGAGTAGGGAGCTAACGACGCGACATAGATAGGCATAGACGTAAATACGGATGTAGATATAGACCTGGAGAGACACCTACATACAATCTCAGAGAGAGAGAGACGCACAATCATAGCATAGGACGTAGACGTTCCTAGCGGAAACTAAACGCCGGATAATCTCTTCTGAATGCTACACCGAAGTAGTCTTAACGAGCATGCCATGATATTTCTTCGCTTCAAATCGAGGTCGACAAATTTGAGATTGTCTCTCTCGTTGTGTGTATGAATAATACTTTTCTCTTATAATACTCTTATTTATTTCAATATTTTTAGTTGGTATTTCTTTAATAATAAAATCATTGATCAATCTGCTATCCTGACCAACAATATTTAAAAATATTAATCCAACAAATATCAATAAAATTTCAGATAATTTGATTGTTTCTTCCTCGATAATTAATAATATTTATTTGTCTGTTTTTTGTTCTATTTTTAGGTCTGAAGTACCTTCACTCAGCCAGAATTCTGCATAGAGATATCAAGCCAGGAAATCTTTTAGTAAACAGCAATTGCGTTTTAAAAGTAAATATATCCTTCTGTAAAAAATAACGTGCCATCCATCTATGCTGACTTTTTGTTCTTTTTTATCTTTATCACGTATTTATTATGAATGTGTCCACAGATCTGTGATTTTGGATTGGCCCGCGTGGAAGAGCCCGACCAGAACAAGCACATGACTCAGGAAGTGGTGACGCAGTATTATCGTGCCCCGGAAATTTTGATGGGTGCACGACACTACACCGCAGCCGTCGATGTTTGGAGCGTCGGTTGCATTTTCGGCGAGCTCCTTCGTCGACGAATTCTCTTTCAAGCACAGAGTCCTGTGCAACAGGTAACAACGATTATTCTTATCGTTGAAAAGATTTGTCCATTATTGAAAAATGACGAAAGGAGGAAAAAAAAAAGAAGAAACTGGCGTGACCGGAGTCGTAAATGTAACGATTTTTCTGTCCATCTTTCTCTCTTAGTTGGAATTGATCACAGAACTGCTAGGCACCCCAACCCTCGAGGACATGAGGTACGCTTGCGAGGGTGCAAGGACTCACATGCTGAGGCGTGCACCGAAACCACCCTCGTTGACGGCTCTCTATACCCTCAGCAGCCAGGCGACGCACGAGGCCGTCCATTTGCTCTGCCAGATGCTAGTCTTCGATCCTGTAAGTCTTCTCTCCCTGCTGCGTGCGTCTCGATGTATGTTACTTACTGAGAACGCCAGGGGTTATTTTCTCTTAGGGATCGAAACTCTGGATTACATTCGTTCTCCTTCTTTCCTCTTTTAACACAGTCCTCGTTTCATTTCGATTCTTCTATAACGGCAACGATCAATTTTCTTCTTTCGACTAAAAGAACTGCATGAACAACCAACATTCATGAGACAAATGTGTTTAGTATTTTTTCCCAAGGAATATCGTTTCCTCGTTTTCTCTTTCAACGGATTCAACGAAATTTCTCTTTCAACGATCAAATGCATATTTCTTTCCAACGAATGGATGATCGGTGCTTTAGATCGGTTTTACGTGTGTTCAAGGGGGGGGGGCACATAGAAGGGGGAGTTACGGTATAATAGTAAACGTGCTATAATGGAAGTACTGGTAGAGGAGAGAGAAAGAGAGAGGGAGAAAAGAAAAGAAAAAAAATTATAAAGGCTCTTACGAGCCATATGCGTGACAGCATGTTGTAGGATGGTAGTAACAACGGGCTTGATAAACAACCTTATGGGAGTTTCTCGTTGAGAACGTGCTGTTTAAAAGGCATATCATTCAAGGCTACGCAACCAACATTTTAAACAATATTTATTCAATGCTTCGTCGAGATTATTGTTCCTAGAAGAAAACATTAGATTTCGCTAATGCGCGTATACTTCGGAATATCAAATTGTTTTGCGCAAAGATATTCCAAACGAAATATCGTATTATTCGAAAAGATGTAAAACTACTACAACTGATGTTACTAAAGTTGGCATCACTGGCAAGAGCATGATTATCGACGCGTCTGATACATACTTAAAGCGCTCTCTTGGTGTTCCCACAGGACAAGAGGATCACCGTGGTGGATGCCCTTGCGCATCCTTATCTGGACGAGGGAAGACTTAGATATCACTCGTGCATGTGCACGTGTTGCTACACAACGAGTGCTGGGATGAGACAGTACACTGGGGATTTCGAGCCAGCTACTACTCATCCTTTCGACGATCTCTGGGAGCGGAAATTGACGAGCGTGCAGCAGGTGAAAGGTAAGACAAAAAGAGTAAAGAACAAATTCGAAAAATTCAAAGTATCGATTATAAGATCAAAGTTAAGTGAACGAATAAGAATTTATTGGCAGGTGTGTATAACTTTTATTAACGGCAAACGACAAATTTTCTATTTGTTTTCTCTGTTACAGAGGAAATGCACAAATTTATAGCGGAGCAGCTGAACACGTCGCGCGTGCCGCTCTGCATAAATCCGCAGTCCGCGGCATTCAAGAGCTTCGCAAGGTAAGCCGTAGGTGGCGGATCTTCAACGTCGCCCAGGCACAGACCCACAGATCGATCATCTTTCCACGATCGTTTACGAAATAGTCAGAAAAAAATTATACAGAAAAAAAAAACAGAAAACAAATAACCGATCAACAACCGACTAACAAACCAACCAATCAACCAACCTACTAACCAATCAACCACCAACCAGATTAAACCTAAAAACCAACCAAATCGATCCTTCGAGTGATAGATCGACAACAAAAAAAAGAACAGTATAAAAAAGTTTCCTTGAACAACCCCATCCTTCCTTCCGCCCCCCTCCCCCATCAGCAAGCAGCAACAGCAGCATCGGGAAACATCAGCCTTCTCCTCATCGAGTCATCGACGATCTTTTTGTCTTTCTCTCTATCATTCTCTCTCTAGTTCGTTTTCCTTCTCCTTTTTCTTCTTCTTCTTCTTATTCATCATAGATTGTCTCTTTCATGATAAAACTCCCCGTCCCTTTAAATTTTTGCTTCCCTTTTCTCGATCCTTCTTCTTCTCTTCCAATAACTTTAATTGAAAAAAAAAAAAAAAGATAAAAATAAAAAACTAGAGTTAGACTCTATCGATACGTAGAGGTGCACACAGTGTTTTCAAAAAAAAAATATAAAAGCTCAAACTACCAATGAATCAAGCCGAGAATCAGTATAATTAAATAATACTAATAATTATTAGAAAACGATGATATGATTGAACAAAAAAAACTTAAAAAAGAAGTCGAGGATATGAGAAATGACGGATTAAAAATTGGATGAAAAAAAAAATACGAAAAAGACACTCGGATGTTTAAAAGAAAAAATTTGAAGGATAAGAAAAAAAAATGATCGAAAAAGGCAAAAAAGGAAGCAAAAGCTGTGAGAGTTTACGAAGGACGATGGGGGAGGGTTGAGACAGAAGGATCGGTGGCAACGGACTCGAAACGAGCCAGGAAAAAGATCCTTTGTCTTGACGACTCATCCTTTATACCCTCTCTGTCTCACTCTTTTCCCCACCCTTTATTCTTCTTCATTTTATTTATTTATTTATTTATTTATTTATTTGTTTTCTGTATATATTTTTCTCTTTCTCTCTTTTTCTCTTCTTTCTTTTCCTTTCTCGCTTCCTCTCTTTCTCTCTCTTTCTTTCTTTTTTTCTTTCTTTCTTTCTTTCTTCTTCTTCTTTTACACTTTTTCACTATTTTCTCATACTTCTTTGTTTATTTAACTATTTTCACTTTGTTTTTCGTGATGTTAGAGATTAACATAAGCAAATATTATATAAAAAAAAATATATATATATAAATATCAGAATTAAAAAGAAAAGAAAAAACAAAATGAAAATTAAGAAAGAGCAAAGAACGCTCCCCTTTAAAAATTCGTATATAGATACCGCAATATCCAATCATCGACAAAAGAGTAAGGACGAGAGTGTAACGCGTCGTCTGTCACATCTTTTGCCCAAATATTCATTTTAAAATGCAAACAAAAGTTAAAGAAAAAAGAAATAAAAGAAAAGAACAAGGTTAAAAAAATTACTAGAGCCCCATCCACCATCGCTGTGTGCGATCTCTCTCAAAAAAAAAAAAAGACACATATAAATACGTATATATATAGTTGTACCCTTAAAATATTTTACAAAAAGAAAGTAGAAGTTAATTAAGAGTAGAGAAAAAAATAAATGTAGAAAACATAACTCATCCCTTAACAACAACAGAAAAATTAAATTCACGAACTCTCACACACGCACTTATACAAACACGACTACTCAAACCTAAAGACAACCACCCCTTTTCAACCTCTTTATCATATTATCTTCTTCTTCTTTTAATTGCAAAAAATATAATAAAATAAATTAAAAAAAAATAATCATACTAACAAAAACAAACAAAATTATAAGAAAAAAAACCAAATATGCTGATGAAGTATATAATGTTTCTCGTCTTGCTTTACTGCCGTCAAGTTAGAGCAAGCTGATCGCCGATCCAGCGTCCTGCGCCGCGTATACGTACACATAACTACTACTACTACTACTACTACTACTACTACTACTATTACTATTACTACTACTACTACTACTATTACTACTACTACTACTACAACTACTACTACTACTACTACTACTACTACCACTGTCGACTACTATTGTCTACTACCGCTATCATCTACCACTACTAGTACTACCACCACCACCATTACTACTATACTGCTACTGCTACTACAACTACTACTACTACTACTACTTTACTATTACTGCTACTGCTACTATACTATTACTATTACCATTACTGCTACTTCTACTATAACTACCTACTACTACAACAACTACTACTACCACCAATCGTGTTACGTCTCCTCCTGAACGAACCGAAAGAACAGAGAGTCAGCAATAAGTCGTCTCAACCTCGCTCGCAGAGGTACTATACAAACAAATCTTTATTCTTTTTCTTTTATCTACATTTTCTCTTTTTCCTTTTTATCTATCTATCTTTCTATATATCTTTCTATCTTTGTCTTTTGTTCTTTCTACTCTGTATAAAAGGAAAGGGTTAAGAGTTTCCTGTTTTATTACCTTACAAACTTTCGTTTTCATTCTCTTCTATCTAACTATCTTTCCATCTACCTATCTATTTTTCTTTGTCTATTCGTTGAGTTTGATTTGTATATTTTTCTTCTTCTCCCAATGTTCTTTTATGTTTCTTTCTTTTCTACTTTCTTATACTTTGTTATTTTTTCTTTTAATATTTACGTGCCTCGTATCGTAATTATACCATACTCGCTTCTTCTTACATTCAGTTAGAAGCTCTTGTATGACTGTTGTGTCGGATTATTGAAACACATAGCTTGCTCTGTCTCCTTTTAGTCTCTCGTGAGAGTTCGCTGGCGGCGAATCGATAGCGAGTCTGAGGGTAACGCTCGAAAAGAAGGGCTGGGGGTTTGGATGGATGAGGAAAGGGGGAGAAGAAAATGGTTAGACCGAACAAAAAATATATCTGGGGTGGTGGGTATCTTTGAGACGAAGGATGAAATTGCAAAAATTCAAAATAAGATATCGAATTTTGTAACGACCGATAAACGCATTCTTTCTCCATATACAAATATTATCTAATTTATCTTCAATATAAATATCGCCAAAAAATGTGAAAGTATCTCAAATTTAGAATAGGCTTTTATTTTTCCCCTTGTCAAATTTATAGTTGAAAAACTTGGTGATTGCTTTGAAATTCTTGGCGAGTAAACGCGAAAGAAATTTAATACTTCGTAATATACATAGAGAAGAAGGTCTTCCAGCACTCATCCGTTTCTCTAAAGCCTAAATGCGAAAAGGAGAGGAGAGGAGAGAAATGACAACTACTACGACTACGACTACGACGACTACGACGACGGCGACGACGACGACGAGGAAGAGGAAAAAGAAGAAGAAGTAGAAGAAGAAGATAAAGAAGCCGCGAATCCTCTCTTCGTACACGTCGGAATTCAACTCGTCGTCGTTTCGTATTTCTCATAACCCGACTCGAGAAAGAGAAGAGATAACCACGAGCGTGCTAATTAGCGTTAGTTGCGCGGTAGACGTAATTAGTAAAATCTTAAACGGCTAGAGAGGATGCTCTCTACCGGGTAACGCCTCGACCTTTCCATTTCGCGTTATCGCGATAATGCGTGCCTTTGCTAACTTTTTTTCCTTTTTATCTTTTTTTGTCTTTTTTTTTTTCTTTTCTTTTTTCAAAAAAAAGACATCGCTTCGAGATGAAATAACTTTCAAGAGTGCTAATCGTATTTGCCTTATTAATCAAACCGTATTGAATACAATTATTTCATTTTTCTTTTTTCTTTTTTTTTAAATGGAGAAAGAAGTTCAACGAAATAATTATTTATCTACGAATATTATTATTCATCCATAATAATAATAAATCCTAGGACTCGCTTGAATTCGTCGGATGACTCACGTGTAAATATATCGGAGATGTGCCTGAATCGGAGAGTTTCGTTGATTGAGTGTAAGAAGGCCTGATCCACCATGCAGCCTTCAGTTCAAAAAAAGATGACAAATTATCGATAAAAAAAAAAAAAAAGAACCAAAGAATATATCAAAATCGCAACCGTAATAAAGAAAGCAACGCGGTGGACGAAAAGAAATAAAATCAAATCATAAAGAAAAACCACCAAGAACAGAGAAAATTAAACAAAAATGACATCCGAAATTTTCAAGTCCCTTTTATCTTACTGTCCATGATATTTTGAGTAGATAAAAAGCACTATCCTCAAATCCTCAAAACTTTCATTCCTTTTACCTTCAACTCCACCCCTATGTCTTTTAATGATATTATTCACGATTACCGACTGATCGTACGATTATTGTCATCATAGACGTTGTTATTCTATCCTCCTAACGAATAAAATATTCTAATCGTCAAATATTTTTGCTCATAACAATTTTAGATTCCCAATTAAAAAATAATCCCTCTGCATATCTCATTTCCCTGCACTAATTAGTTCCCGATCTTGAATCTTTGTAATCCTGTAATCCTTTTTTTTTCGTTTCTTCAATATTTCGTTTAATCACATCCAACCACAATTTTCATAAATCCTGTGGACGATAAAAAAAAAAAGAAAATTTCTTGTAAAATATTTATGATCGGATGGGAATTTTGTTGAAGGCAATTTTTCACGTGTGTTTGATGATTTCTGGAGTTTGCTTTGCCAAAAGCCACCCCTTCTGAATTTCTTTTTTTTTACAATTAAAATATAAATAAATCCTCCGTTTTTTAGATTCCACAAAATAATTGATCGAGAGAAATTTACTCGAACTTGAGAACAGTCAAGTTCCCTTACTCTTTCTCTATCTCTATCTCTATCTCTATTTCTATTTCTATCTCTATCTATCTCTGTCTTTCTGTTTCTCACTTTATCTGTCTCTCATTCTAACTTTATCTATCTTTCTATCTCTTTCTATCTCTTTCGCTTACGTTATTTATAAGAGTAATTATCACGTCGCGAGATAATAGATTTTTTTCTACTTTTTCATAGCACAAGAGTTAAAAGTGAAGAAAAAAATGGAAAAGAGAAAGAAGCGAGGATAAAAAGGAGGAGAAATTAAAAAAGAAGATGGAAGAGAGGTGAACACTTTCTGGTGGTGGGGTGGGACGGCAAGAATAAAAAGTAAAGTAAAAAGATAAAAAATATACATATATCCGTATAGATAGATATATATAAA